TTCTAATCTTCATTGTGCCTTGACATTTGCATGATTGTGATCATCCATTCCCATCAGTTGTGGAATTGGCCTTTAGGACCAATATATATCTTAATTTCCTAACCTGATGTCCTCCAGATGGACAGGATTTGATCTCCCTTCAGCCTTAGCCAGCATGGTTATGCTTATCCACTTTGGGGATTATGGGAGCTGACATTCAGCACATCTGGAATTCACCAAGTTAAGAAAAGCTGCTCTGATTTGGTGTTGGAGGACACCTTAGAAATGTGAACCCTCTCTTGGCCAAAGGTTCTGCTTTTTCTGCAGAATGTTCTAATCAAAGAAATAGTTTAACTTCTCCAACCCTTTGCCCTGTCTTCCTTTCACACATTGAAGTTGTGAGAATCTCAGCCTTTTCTCTTCAAAGCTTTTGCAGCAAGAATTGAAAGAAAACTTACACAGCTTTGGGGACGTTATTGTAAGTCTCTGTGAGGACAGTATTGGGAAATGATTTAACCATTTCCCAACCCAGAGTCCTCCTGCTCTGGGAAGAATGGAATTCCTGTAGTTGGTGCCAAGTTGCAGAAGGCTGGGCTAGCTTTTCCTTCTCCACCTCCTTCCAGTAGAATGCATCTAGGAAGATCCACAACTAGCCTGCCCTGCTACTATTGCCCAGGGCTGCAGTGTTTGGGCTTTGTGTTTTGGCGTTGGGCCACCTTTGGAGTCTACGCTGCAGAGCTAAGATCTTGTCTCGGTCAGGGGTTTTCAGATATTTTCAGGCTGTGGAACCTGATTATTTAAAAAAATATATTCCTGGAACCTCTCTGACGAAGAGGCAAACCTGTAGTGACCGATTACCCTTTTTTCTGCCCTTCATCTCCCATGGAATCCCGTCAGGTTCTTGTGGAACCCCGGGGTTCCGTGAACGTCATTTGGAAAGCCCTGGTCTAACCAAAAGAAGAAGGCTTTCCTTTCTCTTTCAGTAGCTCCTTTGAAGGTTAGTATCAGGCCTGATTTGACTGCCTCCACCTTACCTCTCCTGATCTAACACCCTGCTGCTATCAGTGTCCCACCTCATTGTTCCAAGACACTTTGGGCTGGGCTGGGCTGGGCTGGGGGTTTAGGGGTTCCTTGGTGAGTCCACGAAGCGCAGCCCCTGAGCATTCCAGACTCTGAAGCGGAGGGCCTGATGCAGCGCCCAGGTCCACAGGGAAAGACACAGCAGTGGCACTCCTGGAGATTTACAGAAGAGCCAAGGGAAGGGTTAGAACATGAGTGTTAGAGGCCAAAAGGTTCGGGATGGGGAGATGATTTAACCAGGGGCTGCTGGAAACTGGCACTTCCGGTTTCCTTTTTCCCCCATTGTTGAAAAAACTTCTGCAGAAACCCAGGAGATCAGCATTGGCGCTAGAAGGATCAGGGACGCTTAATCAGGCTGCTTCCTATGCTTCTAAAAATTGATTTAATGCAGGCAGAGGGACTGAACTACAGAGCCCTTCCTTTCCCAGGCAGCAAGCATTGGTACTGTGGTCCAACTTAATTGAAATTGCCTTGCTGCGAAAGATCGAGTTACCTTCCCTCCTCTCTTGGGCAGCGCCTTTGTCCCCACAAAGTTCCCCGTCAAAGGAAGTCCCCAAGATTCAGCTGCCAAGCCTAGTTTCCCCTCGTTTTCTAGGCTTGGTTTTGGCTTTATCCCACCCTCTGGCAGCCAAAGGAAAGTGCAGCCCTGGTGCAAACCTGCCTTGTTTCTTCCAGGCCCTTATGGAACTGCAGAGCTGCCTGAACAGCCGCCGCTGGGACTCACCCACTCGCCTGGGACTGCTTTCGACCCCCTGGCCTTCCTTGGCGCGGAGCCTTTGCCGAATCCGAGCGAAGCAGGTGAACCCAAGCTGCTGTGCTCCTGCCCAGAAAGCGAGCGGGGCTGGAAGGGGAGGCGGAAAAAGGTGGAGGGGGTCTGGGGTCAGGATGGGTGTGAGGCCCCTGAGCCCTGAATAAAGCAGTTGGTGGAAGCAGGGCCACCGAATTCGAGGGGCAGTTCTCTGAATTGCAAAGACAGCCTGTCTGCCTCTGGGCAATGGTAGCACCTTGGGATCGGTTGTGCGCATGTGTGTGTTCCAACCCAAGAATCTCAGCAATTCTGGAGGAGGGCTTCTGGAGCAGTTGTGGTAGGAAGGCAAATCCTATCGGACCCTTATGGTGGGAGTAGACCCTGTTGAAGGGGGTGAGTCAGAACACAGGCTCTTGTCCTCCCAGAGAGCCCCAGGAACCTCTCCAGGGGCCCTGTGATGCCACTTGGAAGAGGCATGGCTGAGTTTTTGCACTGTTTTGCAGCCGTTTTGGAGAAATTTCACAGGTGGGAAGGAGAATCAGAGGGCTTCCAAAGTTGACCAACATCTGAAAAATGGGGCTCGCTTGCCTATTTATTTGTTTGTTTGTTTGTTTGTTTATTTTTCAAATTTAGTCACCATCCATCTCATTCAAAAAGCCACTTTGGGTGGTTTACAATGAAACTGCAATAAATACAGATTAAAATACAGTAAATGTACAGTAAGATAAATAATGTCTTCCAAGGCACCGATGGTAAATAAAGGTTATTCACCTATGGGAGCGTCTTCAGGGTGCCAGCCACCCACAGGGTTAGTTACCCCCTTCACAACCCACGCAAGTTGGCAGAGCCAGGTCTTTGCTCTTTTCTGGAAGGCTGGGAGAGGGGGGGCCTGCCTCACCTCTGGGGGGGAGAGTGTTCCAAAGACAGGGGCAACGACAGAGGAGCCTCTTTTGCCACTGATTTTTCATGAAGTTATCTCATGGGGGCGAGGGGGGACACTTGGTGGTTGCCCACCCTTGCCATATGAGCACAGGGTGAAACTGTTAATCTCCTATGGGCATTTAGACCCAGATTTCCCCCCAATTTTTGTGAAGCCATCTTCTGCTGAAGGTCTGTGTGTCTGCTCCCTGTTTCCTGCAGCATCTGCAAGACAGATGGGTCCTCCTGAAGATTTCTGGTTGGGAACTCAGCACTTAATGGAGGGACAAGAAGCCACTTTCTTTGAGCCCCCAGGTAAGAAGTTTCTTCTTCTCTCTTCCTTGTGCGATCAGCAGAATTTAAGCTGCCACAAGAACAGGTCCGTTTTTGCATCTTCATCTTGCAGAAGAAATTAAGAACTTGTTTGAGATGTTGGGGAATAGCCCGTTAGAAACCAGGGCTCTGGATTTCCAACTCTTTGGACCCAGCTAACCACAGACTGCTGGTCCACAAAATATGCAACAGGCCATTTGCATACAATAGATATTCTTGCATTCATTGTACAACCTTCTGGTAGTTCTTGTTGAAATGATACCTTGATTCCTCCTCTGACTTGCTGATAGCTGTTCCCCTGGCTACTAGCTTACAAACAAAGCAGCAACATCTACTGATTTTCAGAGAAGCTGCTATAAGAAAGGAAGCCCGGGGAGGCTGGGGCCCTGCTGTCTCCACCCCACCCCTTTTGTCTGTGAAAACAACCACCAGACCTTGAGCTCCTCCCAGTTATCCACCCCATCTGTTCAAATTAACAGTGATCTCTAAGAGGAGAAGGGAAAACAGTGATGAATGGAGCAAAAGATCAGTAGAGGCTTCCCAGAACCCTCTGCATTTCCTCTAAGAGGATGTCCTCTTCCCACCCCCTCTGTATCCTGTCCAAAGCTAGGTGTAGAGCAGTGCTTGTATCCCCCGACCGGTATCCTCCCTTCCCTGCAGCGGCTGCCCCCTCCCACAAATAGAAGCCGTGTAGCTCCTCTTTTCTCCAGATGGAAGCCGAGGGGAGCGTGACAAAGCTGGGCAACTTATGTTCAGCCACAGCCCTTAGCATGAACGTTTTTCCCCCTTCAGGATTTTGGCCCTCCTGACAGCATTGGAGGGAGCAGCAGCCCTTTAGGTGTCATGGAGTGCAAAGCCTGTGGCAGCCAGACCAGCTGGTCAGTGTCCCTAGCAGGTCATCTAAGGTGTAAACGACTTACTCTCCCTTCTGCACAGAGCCCTGCAAGGTCCCCGATGAGGCTGAGAGGCACCCACCGGTTGTGGGTGGGATGGATTTCCCAGGAGTGCTGACCCCCCCAGAAGCAAACCAGGCTGCATCAGCAGGTGAGAGAGGGAGAGGGTGTTTGGACTGGGGCTTGAGTCCTGGCTCCTCTCAGTCTCCAGCTCCCATCCTTCCTTCCACATTCTGGGTTGGGCTTCTTTGGGTGAAGAAGACAATTGAGAAGAGAGCCGTTGGAGTGTCCTGCCACAAAGTCCCGTGCAAGGCGACTGTTCTGCCTACGTGTGAGGCTTTGCCCTTGGGCTGTGGAGCGCCTCAGGGCTCGATCCGCATAACCCACTTGCCCCAGCTTGAGGGCAGGCCCAGAACTGCTTCTTGAGGACACAACGCTGTTCTCCTTCTGTTCTCAGCCCCTTGGGAAGGTTTCTCCTGGCACCTGTCAAAAACCTGGGGTTTTCTGACTTGGGATGGCTCAGGCGGGCATTTCATTGCAGGCAGCCCTTTCTGCTCCAAGTGGCTACTACCTGCTGTGGCAGAAATGCCCCCTTCCCTTCATGATCCCCCCTCCTCCTCCCTTTTTATATTGGTCCATCAGTGGGTACTTCAGACAGGAAGGTGTCAGATGTGAGGGGGAGGCTGTGGAGGGCTCCCTCAAGGGCTATCCTCAAAGAACAGCCCACCGAAAGGAAAGCGATTGGTGTTTGCCTTCGTGGCATGGGTGGGAGAGGTAAAGAAGCAGGGAAGTCCACCAGTTGGGGGCCCTGGTAAGAGTGGTCTAGACCCATGAGGCCACCCCTGTGTCCAAAGTGGAGGGAATGGTTGAAATCTGGAAACAGATTTCTGAAGCCAACTTCATTTCCAGCCAGTTTACACTTGGGAGACAAGCAGCTGAAGGCTGTCAGACAGAAAAGTCCTTGGCCAAGAGAATCTGCCGTGGAGAACCTTGCCTCAAGGCAACTGATTTCTGGTGGAGCTGCTTCTTTTTTTGATATGATGCCACCAGGACAAACATCCTGCAAAAGTCAGCAGAGATCGCTTCTGCCCATTTGCTCCCAAACTTCCTGAAGAAGGTAATGCACTGTTCTGAACCTTGTTTTCTTGGTTTCAGCAGTTTCTCCTCCAGTTGGTGGTCCTGGTCCTACAATGGAGGAGCTGATGGGATTTGAACCTTCGTTTGACCACAAGCTGCTTCCTCCTAAAGGACTTCAAGCAGGTGAGCCTCCACTCAAGAATGAGTAGCATACAACAGGAACCATGCCTTCTGGGCTCACGTAGTAGCCACTGGACGCAGAAAAACACTTGCTTGAGTTAAAGAGTGAGAAAAGGTGCCGTACCCTGTTGCCGCATTCGTTCATTCAATTTATATGGCCGCCCATCTCAAATATATGACTCTGGGCGGCTAACAGAAAATAAGAACAAGGTAAAAACCTAATAACAAACAATAAGTAACAAATATAGGAACTGAGATAAAACCAACCAACACTGTCAACATAACCAAGATACGGGCTCAACCGCACAACCTGGGCCCCAGGCTCAGGAACAAAACCAGGTCTTTGTGGCCTTACAGAAAGCCAGTAGGGTCAGGGCAAGTCTAATTGCCAGGGGAATGATGTTCCAGAGGGTGGGCACCACAACAGAAAAAGGTCTCTTCCGGGCAACCTTCTTAACAGCTATTCAACTCAAATGCGTATTTTCTTAGGAACTTGCGTTAATTGAGTCCATGAAAAAGGTGCTGCTGCTTTAAGGAGGTGCTGGCTTGCAGGTGGAGCAGGCCTCCCCATCTTCTCTCCAAAGCACGTTCTCTGTTTTGAAACTGAATAGCCACACATTCCTAGTTCCAAACATCTGGAGGGCACCAGACAGATGGCAGGAGGGATAAATGGGTTGTGTACCATTAATGGTCTGGAAAGGGGAATTTTAGAGCATCAGATAGCATCTAAGCACATTCAGATTGGGAAAGACAGCTCTTTCTCCCTTTCTCTGGAACAGGCTTCCTGGAAACTGCAGTGACAAAAGAACAGAAATCAGAGGTTGAAGACACCACTGTCCTTGCTGCAGGTGGCTGTCCCATGTTGGAGAAGCAGGAGGAGGGAAGCAAGTTTCTTTACACTTCAGAGGAGAAAGACAGTCAGCCACTTCTTAGCCAGCACCCAGGAGAGCCAACAGCAATCATCTTTCCTACCCAGAAAGCAGATGAGGCCCAGGCAACTCTTCCCTTTCACACTCAGGAAGAGGAGAGTAAATTTCCCAACTTCAGAGCAGAAGATCTGGACATTTATTCTGCCCAGCATATAGAGAAAGTAGATGAAAGCAAGCTGTCTCTCACCCAGCAGATGCAGGAAGTGACAAATCAACTTTCTCCTGCCCAGAAAGCTGATGGACTTCCACTTTCTCCCACCCAAAAGGTTGATGCACCTCCACTTTCTCCCCTCCAGAAGGTAGATGGACCTCCACTTTCTCCTGTCCAGAAAGCTGGTGAGCCTCCACTTTCTCCTGCCCAGAAAGCTGATGGACCTCCACTTTCTCCCCTCCAGAAGGTAGATGGACCTCCACTTTCTCCTGCCCAGAAAGCTGGTGGGCCTCCACTTTCTCCTGCTTGGATAGCTGATGGACCTCCACTTTCTCCTGTCCGGAAAGCTGATACCCCTCCACTTTCTCCTGCCCAGAAAGCTGTTACCCCTCCACTTTCTCCTGCGCAGAAAGCTGTTACCCCTCCACTTTCTCCTGCCTGGAAAGCTGATACACCTCCACTTTCTCCTGCCTGGAAAGCTGATGGACCTCCTCTTTCTCCTGCCCAGAAAGCTGACACACCTCCACTTTCTCCTGCCCGTAAAGCTGACACACCTCCACTTTCTCCCACCCAACATGCAGAGAAGGTGGGAGAAATCAAGGTCCCCCTGAGTCAATTCATAGCAGATCAAGAAGTTAAGTCCCCCTCTTTGCCCAGCCAACCTGTGGAGCACCTTCCTGGGCAGGAGAAGCTTGATGAGAAGAACAGGCAGCCCCCCAGCACACCTACTGAGAAGCTGAAGGAACACAGTCAGCCAGCACCAACACCTGGGGAGCATCTTCCAGATCCTGCAGGTAGGGAGAGCTTTAAAAAAACAAAAAAAGTGTTATGATGGGCTGTCACCTTCTCTCTTTCCTCCAGCAGCAAGTCAACCTCTTTTCTCCCTCTCTTACAAATCTGAGCTGCTTTTCTCATGTGATGGTGGTGCTCTTGATAGATAAAATTGACTTGGGGGTCTGAGGAATTTAAATGAAATAGGGGCTTCCATAACACATATTTAGGATATTGATCAGAACAGCACTTGAAAAGGACAGTATTCTCTTGGCTCCTGAGCCATGCCCAAGCTCCATGCTGTAACACAAGGTCTTCTTGAGTTGGATGTACTGGTGTGGGTAGTGGACAGATCTCTCTTTGATATGGTAAATGTCAAGGACCACTGAATCTATGCTATTCTCCTCCACCATGGTGTTTTCCAGTTGTATTGGGACTGGACTGGGAGTTCTGGAGGTTGCTCTTCCAGCACCTTTGGAGAGCACCCCGTTAGGGAAGACTAACCTGATTTTAACCATGGGGCCATGATGCTTCTGGCCATGGGGAAAGTTCTCTCTTTTGTTGTGGTCATCCTAGTTTTTGTCTTCAGCAGAGTCGGTGGAATCTGTACTTTGGGGAAAGACCCAGGCAGATTCTCCAGGGTCTTTTGTTGAAGAGTCCTCATTTGTCAAGGCAAAGGAACCACTGGAGCCTCATCCTGCCCACCCAGTGGAGTTGCCTAGAGAAAAACTGCCTCCAGAACATGAGGGTAAGTACCTGTGTAGGAGCAGGAGCTGAGCCTTCTCTTAAGTGCTTCTCTTCCTTCTCCATCCTGGAATTCCTCTCCCTTGCAGCTTGCTTCTCTCTTTGGGACATCAGTCTTCTGCTCTTGGAGGAAGATGCTGCAACAGCTTGTTTCTCTTCCTCCATTCTGTTTACTCCCCACCCCTGCTGCTTTTTATCCCCAAAACTGGGCATCCTACGTTAGTTGCACTGGTACCTAGGTTCAATGCAGGCAAGTTTCTCAAATACCATTTTTTGATCTTCCTCTGTCTGTGGAACCCTGAGAACATTAGCTTACTTTCTAAAACAGGTTGCTAAGATGAACTTTTTTTGGCAGACCCATTAACGACGTTGGTCTGCAATTGTGTGAAAGAGTACTTTCAATGTGTCGTCCATCTTTCCCCTTATATATGCATTCCAAACTGTGGGATAGATTGGGGACCCAGATGTTCAGAGACAGTTTTGTGACCCCTGCTGTGAATGAGTAATAGGCTGTGCGAAAGCCCAGAAAAATATCTCTTCCCACTTCCCTTAAGTTTAGGCACTTTGCCTTCCATCTGTGTGTGTCTATCTCATTTCTCTTCCTAGTTGCGCCCCAGCTGTATCATGTCTTAGCTTGCCAGTATATGGATTTTCTGCAATGGAAGGTTTCTAGGTCTAGATCTTTTGGCCCTTTTTTTTCCAAGCAAAGAGATGACCTAGGTCTGAAAAACCTTTTTAGAAAAGTAAAGAAATGCAGCTTTCCTCAACCCACCACTTTTTAGGTGTGTTAGATTACAATTCCCATCATCTCTGGTGTCCAAGCTGCTTGGAGATGATAGGAGATGCAGTCCAGGACCTGTAGAAAGTTAAAAATTGGGCTGTCTAAGCCTGAGGACGTCTATTTATTCACTGATGTAGAAATGATAGCTTTTCAGAAAATCTGATCCATGATGTGCGATTTATTTGGCAAAGGCAGAAATCAGTGAAACCTAAAACACCCCCAAAATGTTTCAGTGTGAGTAGAATTTGGCCGTAATGTAAACATTTGGAAAGTGATTCTTGGTCCATGGTGGCTTTTGTCCTTCAGTGAACTTCCTGTATTCCAGGTGCACCTCCTGCCCAAATAAGACAAGCTAACAAATCCAGTGACCACCGCAGGTTTGGCAGAGCAAAGCCTGCCCAGATGACTGTGGCAGATGCCCCAGAGGAGCTTCTTGCAGGTTCTCCAACCCAGAAGAGCCACAGTCCAAGAGGAGACCCTTTTTATGTGGCTGACTTTGGCTCCGTCAGTGGGACTTCTCCCCACAGCAAGAGATCTCAGAGGAAGGGACCTGGCCAGCCTTTCGAGGTTGCGGAGGGTACAAGAGAGATATTGCAAGAGGGTTGGGATCTGGAAGCTTCAGCAGCCTTGAAGAAGAAGAAGAAGAAACCAAAGCAAAAGAGAGGGCAGCAGCTGCGGGTAGTGGAAACATGGGAGGACAACTCTAGAAAGTTAAGAACTCCTCTGGCTGCTGCTGAACCTCAAAAAGCTCTCCATGAAAGTGCCAAAGAGGTCTCGTGGGCCTCCACAGAAATCCCCGGAAAGGATACTTTGAAGCTTGGTAAAGAAGGACAACTGCGGGATGGTCAGCACCTTCCACCACTTCCTCCAACAGACATGCCTGGCCTGCAGATTGAAGGCCCTTCCAGATCTGCATTGGACACAAAACCAGGAGAGTTGAGCCAAGCTAAATCAGCGATGGATGACAGCTTAGCATTGCAGCCAAAAAGTAAAAGGGGAGAACTTTCTGATGAGCTGCTGAAGCACCACATTGAGCAGAACAAGCAGGAAAGCCCAACTTCTCCCCTAGCTCAGACCAGTCCTGGGGAAATAAGTCCGTTTGGGAAAAATGTACAGTTAGAGCCTCTGTCTCCCAAGAACTCAAACATTGATGCTTCAGCTCAGGAGACCAAATCTGCAGCGATGCAGAAAATTGAGGTCCCGACAGTAGAGCCTGTGGTTGCAAGTGAGAAGGTTGCCCCAGGGTGGCAAGGCCTTGAAAGGGACGAGGGGTTGCTAGAAAAGCCAAAGAAACTGGAGGGGGCTTTGAAGAATGACAGGGCTGGCATGGGAGGGGTCGGCCTTCCAGCTGAACCAAAGATGGCTGAGGCAACTGAAGGAGGGAGTTCTCTTCATCGAGACAGGGAAGGAGGCTCTGTTGCCTCAGAGATCCCAAAAGAAAGAGAGGCCAAAGGGAGCCTCTCCACAAGAAGCGAAAAGCCTGATTTTAATTCTGCAAAAATTCCCCTGGTGGCGGAAACCAAGTTGGATCCAGCAAAACCCTTCTTTGCTGCTGAGGCAATTGGCGGTGGCCCAGTGCCTTTCACCAGTACAACCGAGGAAGTCCTTGGTACCACCCCTCCAGAACAGCCGGCTGGGCCCAAAAAGAGGGGCAGCGATGGGAAAAGCAAGAGAGTGAAGCACTTCCCGGAGCCACGGCTGTTTCCTTCAGAGGAGAAGGCTGGTTTGAGCAAAGCTTCAGCTGCGGTAGAAGTTGAGGCACCTGGCGAAATCAGTTTGGCAGCCAGGGGCCCAGAAGAGAGTTTTCCCACCTCTTCAGGAGCGAGAGAGAAGCCAAAGAAGAGATCTAGCAATGGGAAGAGCAGAAAAGCTGAGGAGAGAAGCTCCTTCAGGCAGCCCTTTTTCTCCAGCATGGAGGGTAGCAGAGACTTCCTTCCCTCTCAGCAGGGCTGGCCTGACCAAACCAAACAGAGAGCGGATTATCCAAAAGAGGGGACTGACATCTTAGCTGCAAGCCAGCTGTTGGAAAGTGCTGCAGATGCCGTGAAACAACACAGCCCTCCTCCTGTAACCTTGACAGAACATGCCAAAGGGGCTCCAGCTGGATCTGGTGAAAGGGTTGACTTGCCTCCATCAGCATATCCCTTCATCTTGGAGGCCCCTGGCAAGCAGACAGAATGCCAGGCTCTCACTGAGTCCACTGTCCAAACAAAGGAAACAGGCAGTCCAAATCAAAACAAGGGACTTAGCCTCACCGGTTTAGAGAGCCCACCTGGAGGAGACCCCACTTTGGTGTTGCCCACAAGCAAACCCAAAAAGAGGAGCAGTGATGGGAAAAGCAAAAAATCTGAGAAAAGTTCCTCAGAACAGCCACTCTTCCTGGAGAAAAAGTCGGATGTAATCAAGCCTTCCAAGAAAACTGATGTAGCTAAGGAAACAGGCTCTCCTGAGAAAAGTCAAGTGCCAGAACTGCCAGGTGCCACCGAAGTCCACGTCCCTGCTGAAAAACTGCTGGAAAAAACAGGAGGGAATCAGGGGAAGAGCCTATGCTTTGAGCAGCTGCCCACCCCTGAGGAGAAACCTAGCACTGCCAAGACAGAAGAGCTCACTAAAACCAAAGAAACACCTTCTAGTGAGAAGGGGCAGGAAGCTAACCTAGAGCAATTTGGGGAGGGTACACCAAAGCCACATGTTGCTCTGCCTCAAGTGCCGGAAGAGCTGAAGATACAGGATACTGAACGGCAAAGCCTCCAAGTTCCTGAGGTTTTGGAGGTGAAGCCAGAACCATCTGGTGAACATCACAAACTAGCTAAGACTGAGGAGGTACCCTCCTCTGATGGTAGCAAGGAGGAGGCATCACAGCATCTCCTCAAGGATGCAAAACCTACAGGCCAGGTTCCTGCTAAGCTATTTGTTGACGAAACATTCAGAGGAGAAGAGAAAGGAAAGAGTAGACAGGACATGCCTAGTTTGGAACAATCTGTTCATTCGCTGGGCAGGTCAGACACTGGTACAGTTTTAGATGCTGAGAGAAAGACGAAGACCAAAGGGTCAACTGCTTCCAGAAGCAGCAAACAGAAAAAAGATGGTGGCTCTGATCTTTCAGATCAGCAAGCCCCGCTTGCAAAACCTGAAAAGAAAGGTAGCGAAAAGAAAAGTAAAAAGGCTCTGATTGTCCCTCCACAGCCTGGTGTTGCACAAACTAAGGAAGAAGTAAACGAAGAGCAGCCTTGTAGGGTGGGTGGGTTGGACTTTACTGTGGGAGAAGCTGAGGTTGTAGATGAGAACAGGAACATCAAAGGCTTTCCCTCTGGACATCAGCTGCATTGGGAAGAGGACCTCACGAATGTATTTGAACCGGCTAGCGCTCTTGATGAAACCACCTCTGAAAGTCAGGGGACCCGCTGCCCCTTTTTAGAACACCCCAGCAAATTTGCTGATGTACTAAGCAAGGAGCAGCTTTTTCTTCCCAAATTACTGCAAGATCCCGAGCAAGGGGACCAGAAGATTCTGGAGGAGCTACAGGAGAATTTAGCAAAGCTTGAAGGTAGAGAGGCCGTAGCAGAAGCTTCTCTTTTAATGAAAGCTGGTGATGAAATTAGGGAGAAGAGGAAGAAAAGCAAACGGGCACCGGCAGACCGTCTTTTCAAACCAAAAACAGAAAAGGATCAGGTTTCCAGTTTAATAGAAAGTGGAGGAATAAACCTCTGTGGCAAAATACAAGGCTCACCAGAAGTGGTGGTGGAGGAGAAGCCAAAGATGGCTCCTGTGCTGGTTGCTGAAATAGAAGGAAGTGGTTCTGTTGGAGAAGCCAGTGACCTCCCTATGGAAATGCCAACTCTTAAGGAGTCTGGTAAGGAAAATGCAATTCTCCAGGCTATAACAACTGCACTTGATGGTGGTAGTTCTGAGCCAGGAACGTTAGCAGAAAATAGAAAAGAAGCTGAACTGAGGACTTCTGAGTGCCCAGATAGTTCAGGAAGTAAGACGAGAACAGATAAGCCCCTGGAGGATGTCCCTGTGGAGGAAGTGGGCTCTGCTCATAAGCCCAAAGTCTCTTCCGATCATCTGGAGCCAGATGACGGGAATGAGGCAAAGATCAGCCCCATAGTCCAACCAGCCAGCAAGGAAGAGGCAGGTCTACTGGGAGAGGCAACTGAACCGAAAGATGTGCAGAACCTGGGATTGGCAGCCAGGGAACAACTAGAGTCAATTTCGCCGGCTGTGGCCGATCATGGTGACCAAGGGCCGAGAGAGACCAAGAAAGCAGGGCGAGCCAGAGCCCCTCAGCAAATGAAAGGCTACATGAGACCCACCAAATCAAGAGGGCTTCCTCCTCCTCCTCCTCCTCCTTCCCTGAGGGACGCTGTTCAAGAGCAAGGCAGGAGAAGGCCTGCAAAGTCTGATGCCCCAGTTCTTCACAGGCAAGAGAAAGGTGTGTGCTTGCAGCTGTGGCCTTTCATCAGTCATGCATCCTACAGCTTGTGTGTGAGAACTTGCTCCATGTCAGCGCATTGGCCTGAGCACCTAACTGTTAATCCCGCGGCCGAAGCACAAGTCTCTTTGGCATGACTGTTTCCTGGCTGTCTTTTAGAACCTGTTTGATTCAGCTTGCTTGTGTCACAGTGCTAATGGCCAACTTTGGAACTGACCCTAGAAACTGAGTTCCTAAGCTTTTGTCTATGTGCTTAGCCCTGTTTGTGTAGTTTGTACTCACTAATCTTGAAACCCGGCCATCCTCTAGCTAAGGAACCTCTTGAGTCGGAAGGGCCTTCTGAGGCTGTAGACCAACCCCCTGCTCTGTTCGAGTATCCAAGATTAAGCATCCCGGTTTCTCCTTGAACCCATTCAGCAAAGGGGAGCCCACCGCCTCTCTGAGTCACTGGTTCCACTGTTGAATTGCTCTGACTGTTAGGAAGTTTTTCCTAACAATGAATTGGAATCTGCCTTCATGTAACTCGTCCTAGGTTAGATGCTTCAATAAATCAAGCAGAAGACACAACAGGGTTGCTGTGGCATGTCTCATACTAATCTATGGCAGGAGACACTTGAATTATGCTAGTGAATCAGAGTAGAAGACAGTTCCATGTTCCAGTCGTGCAGTGGGTTTCCTCATGTATCCAGCCATTTAGAGTCAGAGGTGCACTAATGAAATAAGTCTATGAACTTGTCTCTTATAACCTTCTGCCATCTCCTCTGATGGCCCTTCTTCCGTGTTCATCTAGAGATGCTGAAGATTGACCACTTTGCCTGGTTTTATTCTCTGCCCCTCCCTCCTTTTTAAATACCAGGGAGCTTCAGTTTGCCAGCAGCCATTTAATTTGGTGGGGTGAAATGCCTTTCCCTAACAAAACTGGGTCTAAACATGTCACTAGGCAAGGTGAGTTGGGGCCATTCGTCTTAACATCCGCTTGCATGGAAGAAATGCAAGAGTGAATTATGATGCCCATAACATTTTACATCTTTTGTGACAGTTGCATAACCTATAGAGTTGGGGTTTTTTTGGTGTAAATGGTGTTTTCTGCACGAAATTGTTCCTTAGAGGTGTGCCTCCGTGTGTGTTCTATGCATGGGGAAGGAAGGTAGAAAAGGTTTTTTTAAAAAGGGGTTTAAAGCAGTGCCGTCTTTGGAAAAGCACAGACTGTTGGAAGCTGTTTTGTTTTCCTTGCAAACTGCTGTATTTGAGCAAACCTATCTGGCTGTTGCAAATCAGAAAAGGTTACAAGGAATTGGAATGTAAGGGGTACAACGCATCTTGCCTCTGCAAGGGAATGACACAGGGCACACATGCTCACTGGTGCATTCTGGATGCCTAGAATTTGCTTAAATAATGGGCAACTCTCTCCATCCTGGAGAAGTGCAGGCCGTGGTTGGGGAAGATGCACTGTCCTTAGCATGCTGTCTCGGCTCCCAGTTTGGAATTGATGAGAGGAATGGATATGGCTGAGGCCTCTGCCACAAGATCTAGGTAACAGGACCTGGAATTTGATATTACAAAGAAAGCGGAAGGAGTCTACTATCTGGGACAGTGTTTCTAAACTTGGCCCCTTGAAGATGTGTGAACTTCAACTCCCAGAATTCCCATGCTGGCTGGGGAATTCTGGGAGTTGAAGTCCCCTCATCTTCAAGGGGCCAAGTTTGAGAAACACGGATCTAAAGTTTGTCATCTTGGGCCGACACTGCCTTTCCTGTTGGCGCATCTAGAAGTCTCAAGAGGACGCCTACTTTAGTACTACTGAAGGCTGGTACCATCCAGATGCACTGGAACCACAAGCTTGCAAAATTCCTCAGCCGCTAAACGGCTGAACGGTGCGCTCTCTGTGGGCATCCAGGCCCCATTTCTACACCATGGTTATTCAGGTTAGCTTTCACAGTCCCGTGATTTTAGCCTGCCTCACCAGAGGATTAAAAATGGGCTCAGTGTTTATGGTCTCTGGTCTCCACTTTGGGGTATCCCTGCCCTTAAGCCTGGGCACTTTCTGCCGCAAGCCGAGCCCTTGGGCATAGCTGAAGAGATGGGTCTGTCCCCCAGGACCCTTTCTTCTCTTCCAGACTCACAGGGAGCCCTTTTCCTTCCACATTTGCTCCCCACCCTTTCTGAGCCTTTCTACTGCTGCTGACTTTGAACATTGTCCCTGCGGCTGCCTGCATTTGTCATTAGTCTGGCAGCAGGTGCTAAATATTGCATAGCTAAGAGGAGGAGTGTGCAAAAATTAGTTTACTTTACTACGGTTGTTGCAGGGAGGAGAGGAGTGCTTCAGAATAGGTGCTGAATCTTCCCTTAGACACATTCTCAAAGGGGCCTTCTGTGAATATGACTCCACTCCCAGAGAACGGTTAAAGGACTGGGCAAGGCCTTCCCCAGCTCAAAAATGAAACCTAGTTCCCCCAGATTGTTTAGTTTATCACCGTGTGCTAATTGTCTGAGCTTGTGTGTGGTTGTGAAACAGAGACCTACAGTATAAAATTTCCCTCCTAAAGTTTATCCTTTCCAGCAGCATCTTTGGTTCCTCTGATGGCTCTCCTGGTTGACTCTGGTGACGACACCTCGTCGCACATGGTTCTTGGTGGGTTTGCTAGGGAGCACTTCAGCATCCTGCAAGGTGTGGTTGTCTTGGAAACCAGTGCATAGAGGACCTTGCTTGAAACCATTTGTTTGCTGGTGTGTGTGTTTTAAAACATTGAACAGGATATGTATTAGCTTGAAGGGCAGAGCAAAAATAGAAACTGCAGGCTGCTGTGGGCGGGAACTGGCAACTTGCAACTTAAACCGCGGTGTGTTGAAGCAGGAATCGGCTTGGGGTGGGGTTGAGGTCCAGCAGGTCGCCCTGTGCATCATTCTACCCCCACAAGGCCTAGTATCCTCAGCCATAAGTCCCATACTGAGTGGACTCCAGGGACTTGCGGTCCTAACACATTTAGAGGCACTAAACAGGAATGGGCTGATGCCAGGCAAAACCTGAAGATCTCAGAAGCTTTTCCAGAACTTCGTGCATTTTGATTGCTCCTAATAATGCTTCCGCCTGACCCCGTAGTTTGGAAGTTGCCTAATTTTTGAAGCCCACTGTGAGATGAGGATGTGAGTGTGCGTCTGCTGCCCCACCTGGTAGTTCTTGACCTTGGCCAAGCTGTGGACCACTCGCTGATAGAAGAAGAGGCCCGCTGCTCATTATTGTGCAGAGTACAACAGAGGCCTCTCTCTTTTTCAGGACTGAGTTCTGCACTGCTTCTGACCAAGCGTCAAATGGATCGTTCAAGCAGGTATATGCCCGGGGTGGAAAGTTAGATAGGAGAACAGACGAAAGCTGCAAGGTGAGGCTAGAGAGGCAGGACCCCTTACCTTGGGAGTTTATCTTCTCCGCTAATTTATGTTGGCAAGGAACAGTAGAAATTGTAATCCAGCATATAGAAGTTGTGCCTGGGATGCTGGAAATCCAACCCCAACGCTCAGCATTCAGCAAAACCGGCCATCCTCTGCAGAATATTCTGTCTTGTCCCAAGGCCCTGCGTGCATTCCACCGCCCCGCCCCTTTTGACTTGCTTCGCCCTGGCTTTGCGGTCGTCCTCTGCTTTCCCCTCCGCAGTGAGAAGAGCAGCAGCGAACATTCCGTGACGTCACGCGCAGCTCAGCCAATGGCTCGGAAGGTTGTCTGCGCCTGGAGGGCAAGAGGCGACCTATGGCTCTGCCTCCTTTGCGATCGGCAGGGGTGGGCGGGTGGGAATCGGGGAGCTTCGTGAATAAAGCATGGAACAACTTTACAACTTCTTGGTTCACAGTTCCGACGCTGCTTGCTCTCCCCCCACCCAGCGCTTAAAGGAGGATGGCAAGTGTTGGCTCGTGGGGGGGGGCTTCTTTACGCATTTGTGTGCAGTGAGATAAATTCAGGGGCCGTGTTGCAGCAGAGTCCAAAAATACCCTTTGCAAATTAGCCGGCAGGAGTTGTCCGTGCTGCGCTGGGCTCCAAGGGCAGCGCTCCCCCCTCTCCCAGCCCCCCAGCCCCATCTAAGCAGCCATGACAGCAATGCTGAGCGGTGCTTTCCTGGTTCAAAGCAGGATCTTATTGAATCCAGGCACGTTGCAGTGCTTGGAGGACAAAGAACAGTTTCTCTCTCCTGTGGTGAGCCAGGGGTGGTGATACCGAGTGCCTGGAAACTGGAGGGTGCAGGTTGGTGTTTGGCAAAATTCTCTGTGTTGCTTCTCCCAGTTGGGGTGGGGGAAAGGATGTGGAATGCTAGGTGGCAGGTGCATGCATGACCTCGAAATGCAAAATACAGCACATTTGTCTAAAGCGTGGGATTCATGATTTTTGAATCATGAAGTGTGAAGTTGGAGAGTTAATGTACATAGCTTTCCCCGACTCGAACACCCTCTAGATGTGCTGGGATTGCAAGTCTCCTGCCTCCCACCCCGCCCCTAGCCTTTGGGAATCCTGAGATCGCAGTCCCCGTGCATCCAGGGCCAGCCTCAGGAAGACTAATGTAGCAAGGGTGAAGGTTGCCTTCCAGATGTGGACTCCAACTCCCAGAATTCTCAGCAGCGCCCCTGCTGGGTGGGGAATTCTGGGCTGTCCTGCACATCTGGAAGGTGTTGAGGAAGGGAACAAGCAAACAGATGTGCAGTTCTGCCGCCGTATAGATTGCACGAGGGGACTCTCCAAAGCCGCTTAACAAGATCATTATGGGATGGAACGAGGACTCGTTTCTTGAAGTCCGTTCGTGTTATCTCTTGCAGCAGGAAAGAGTCTGGTCTCAGTCCAACAGAACTCCCCCACACAATTCCTTTCTTCTTTCCCATAGCCCCCTAATCTCCACTCTGCCAGCTGCTGTGGAGGGTTGAGAGATACTCAGAAGTGTTCCCTATGGGGAAATTGCAGTGGGGAGGGAGAGATGGGGAGAAATGCATGACAGCATCTTTGGAAACGTCAAGACCAGTGT